CTCGAAGTTAGTACCTTCAAAGAGTTTGAAACTTATTCGAATTCTCCATACAGGATGCCTCAGTTGAGATGATCAAATAATTCAGGGAGTATTGTGAGCGAGTGACTGAATTTGCGATAGAAGCATGTCTCTGAAGGATAGCGCGATTGAATTGACCAGCAAAATTATCAACTGACCTTGAACAGTTCCCGTCGTTCTTTCGCCACTCGCTCGTATAACATCTTCTGATATGCGAAACGTTCTTGGAAATCGTTTCGCAGCCGATCCATTGTACAGACAAAATGGCGCAAACCTTTTCAACCCTGCAAAAATTGCAACCCTGAATGCACAAATACAGATCTGTTCTCGTTGCTACGATCACCATCTCACGGAAACCCTCATGTTCATAGTTCACGTTATCGCATGATTCACGATTTTCGAGCTGTATAAACTTCAAAGCCACGGCACAACGATTTAAACTTCCAATATTCGTAATTTCCAGATAACGACTTGTACGAGAGCGAAGGAATATGTAATACGCAAAAAATTTCAATGAAAGTGGTGACGTGACGGTTCCCGATAAATTAGGTCATCAGTTCATCCATCATATGCATGAAAGAGAACTATTTAATATCAACATGCATCACGATTCCTGTAGTATGTCGAAAAGAATGGTATGCATGATGTGTCTGTGTTCGACCATGATTAAATAAGATAGCAAATATCCGAACTGGAGCAGATTGCTCGCTTAACAAATCGTTCGAACTTATCAAATCCGAAACTTGTGAAAATCCGATCAAATAGAAAACTTAAAAGTATTTCCACAACTGATCGAGCTCACCGTTTTGCTATTGCACTGGCAACACCTATGTCAGTACCTAATAAGTAACAAGTGCTATAAGTAAAGGATATCGAAGAATAAACAACTTCAAACGAAAATTTCTAAACGAATTTCAACTGACTGAAATCTTTATTAGTACTTTATGAACAACGTACAGCACGACTGGTAACACAATTAGTACAATGAGTAACATTATTAGTAATATATAAAGTATTACGTGGCAGCAGTAATATCATTACAGTCAATGAGAATAACAATAATGATCAATGCAATGACGGACAATCAAATGACGATAAAAATTTTGGTGACGATCGAAATTTCGGTAAAATGAAGACGAAAGGAACAATTTGAATGCAAAAATGAATTCTCAAGAAAATCCACAGCAAGGAAACTTTTTAAGAGTTTCGATAATCCGAAATTAAAGAGTTAAGATAATCCGAAATCTGAAATTAAACGATCTAGTCGGAATTCGTCTGAGCGACGCATGGATCAGTTACATAATCTGAAGGAATCGTAATTCGAGTGCTGAGAGATGCATATGGATCAGTTACACCACCATTGTAAAATCAAAAAAAAAAAATAGAATTTTCCATTTGAAACGTGAAACATGAAATTCGATCGCGTTAAATCATAACAACCGTGAAGTGAAATGATCAAGAAAAACAAACTGAACTGTTAACACCCAACAACTGACATCCCCTTATATATGTCGCCATTTAGGCAATCATTTACTCAAGGAAATGTGCATGCGAAAGAATTTGACAAACGAGGACTACAGTGATACGGTACGTTCTGATCACTCGTGCAAATGCACTCTTCAAAGGAGTAGAAATGCTGAATTTGTATGCCTCTTTCATGCTTTCCCAAAGCTCTTAGCAATTGATCATACCAACGTATCTCAGCAAAATATTCTAATCACTCTTTATCAAGAGACCAAGAGGAATTATGCATAAGGGAAGGTGAAATCTGCTGAGGGTGCACCAGATTCATTCAATTGGTTATGATATCAAAATCTGACGTTCCTATCGCAGATGACATCAAAATAATAGATGTAGCTGTAAAGCGATCTCCTACCGGCAAAATTCACTTGTGAGACGACGAATCTCCCCGTTAAATGTGGGGATTTAAAACAAAGATCCAGCAAGCTGCTCCACAAGATCAATCATCAAATCATTGGATCTAATAAATGTACGCAGAAAACAAGAAAATAACAAATGCGGTGTGAAGAAGCGATGAAATAATAGAATTCGTATCAATGACAGTGATGACACTTTGATGGATCGGACGAGTTGAACTGGCGCTTGATGACAATGATAGCAGTTCATCATTATCTTCGTTAGCGTCAGTACTCAACCAGTTATTTTCCTGACGTCTTGACGATTGTTGCTGCTCTTTTTGTTGTGTAGGTACTGCCTCAAGTTGTCGTTGTTCGGGATCCTTTCTGAAACATTTCTGTGCTGAGTAAACTGTTGCGTTGCATCGAAAGAAGACAGTTTGCACAAGTAGATAATTCCACAAAAACTCTGTTGCACATTCTTAATGCTATTCTTGATTCTCTCCACTTTTTCACTTTTAATCAGGCAAACATCAGGCATTCTTTAAAGTCATTGCTACAAGGCTGCTATATCTCTAACTGAGTTTTTCAGTGTTTCACTCAAACAGAACCGAGTTGTTGATCACAATTAGTCATTGTGCATTTTGCTCGTTAGCTGAAATCCACTGCAGCATTCCAATCTTGCAACCTTTCGCAATTCAAACACCACAATTGGACATAAGAACAACTACGGTCATGTCATTTGACTTGTATGAAAGTTTTCTGGTGTATAGCGCACAGAAAAGAACGAATCCACTGAATCAGTGATCAAAAGTTAAGTGTTGTGCAGTTGATTTTCTGATTTACCAAAAGTTCACAACCAGTTCTTAGCTTCTTGCATGCTTGAGCAGGGTCTTTGGTCTGTGTGAATATTGTTGCACTAACTCCAAAAATAACTTCCATTCGCTTTCAACTTATTGGAATGAGGTTGGCACTACTGAATAATAAGTCAAAAGTACATCAACTTCAACTTAAACACTGCAACGCCAGCAACAGCAACAACAATACATAATTGATCACAAGCAAACTCTAGCGAATAATCAAATAATTTTTGATCACCGTAAAATCAAAAGAGTCCATTTTGTATTGAGTGAAATTGAGGGAGAGTCCATGAATACTTAAGCTCAATTGTTGACTAATTGATATTCATAGCGAATGAAGCAGTTAGTTCAGTATCCAAAGTATCCAAATGTTCAAATTATTTCGACTGTCAGCAGATATTTTGATGATTGCTGTGATTTCATATTCTGAATGATGATAGATGGGATTTTGAGAATTTAAAATTTGAATTGAAATGCGTGAACGGAGTAACAATTGAATACCGTCTGAAATGTTCAACAGGAACACTTAATGAGTTCATGCGTTGAGTTTGCTGGTTTTGTGTTCCTGATAATACTTCACCACTGCTAGCTGATGCATTTGACAGATTTGCGGTTGCCCTTGCGTTTGGCCAGGAATTCTGTTGCCATTTCTGAACCATTACTCACAATCAGTTGATTTTGTTTCGTTCATGAATTATTTCTTATGAATGATGGTCAATTTGCAACTTTTGAAAGCTGACACTTTGAATTATCAATATTCAGAAATTGAGTTTGATAACTAGCAAATATCAACAGGTGATAGCGATGAACAAAGTTACAGGGTTTAGCGGTTATTCAGATTTCAGAATGCGATTCAAGCGTAAAAACTTTTTTGCAAATCTCAATCAACAACTGACAGACGCAACACTTGAGCTTGCAGTCATCCTATCGTCACCGTCAGATTCACCGAGCATATTTTGCAAAGAAATACCCGGGTTCAACGCCACCACTTCTGAATCGTGATCACTGAAATTTACAATTCAGAAGACATCCGATAAAAGAGATACTGAGGAGTCAGAGTTCCTTAAGTTTTTGCATATTAACAATGAACATTGTTCCACATGGTGTTCCACATGGTATTGTGGTGTTCCACATCAACGTAACACATCAAACATCGAACAGAAGTGGTGTGGTACCTCGTAGTATATTTTGGATCGCCCTGTAATTGCAGCGTAATCGGTGCTTTGTTACAGTGATCACCTTGACAAATGCAGTACACAACAAGGCCATCGTATGCCTCATGGCATCCAACCGTGAGTGCATCACGCGATATGCTATCAGCACCACTTTGATTGGACAGCTCTCCCTGTGATAAGCATCGTTTCTCCAGGCTGTACATGGCTAAAAAAGTCACATTCTTGTCATGTATCGCTGATTAGATCAAAAACAATTTCAGTTGTTCTTAACGAAGCAATGTGCTCGATAAGCCTTCTGATTTCCCTTCAGTATACAAGATGAATTGTATTACCTCTTGGACAAGGTGAACATTATGATTATTAGGACAAGGCGATTATCATTTGGCCGTATCGAACAGGTTTTAAAATGTTGACATGAAAATGGTGACTTAATATGATGAGATGAGTTTGTGAAGTGCTATTAAAATGTGAATTGTTATTATGGGCAATTTTCTGAGGACTTTTCTATTGCACTCACTTGGTGTTAACTGAGTCCTTTTGCTTAAGCAGTAGATTCCACTGCCATCTTCAAATTGCTTATTGCAATTGACCACAACTGGTTTTGAACAGTCAGCTTCTGGACTGCTCAATCGACTCTCACTGCATACGTGACATGAGACCACTCGCTGCAATCACATGAGTTTTTGATGTGTTGAAGAAAACAGTTAGACACAATTAAGTTAAATGTCGTCAAACTTTGCTTTAAAGCAGACATAACAACAATTAAAAACCACTGAAAACAAGGGAATACCTGTGAATTTGGCGAAATTATTGACTTCTGTGTTGATGCCATTGATGGTGCTGAAGTTGAGTCGTAATCGAGTGAAGGTGGGTTGCTCATGGATATCTGCAACAAACAAAGTCTGTTGAAATGACAATGCTTCCAAGTAACCCACTGACAAAAGTGCTGTGATTCTCTTGGTGTTGCTAACAGAAAGTAGACAAATTACAAATTACAACGAAGATGAGTAAAAACAATTGATAAATTCGATCCACTCGGATCTTTTGATGAGTAAAACTCATACTCACTCGATGAAATATACATGGAAACACTGACCTGTTCGTTGATCGTGAGACGATTACACTCGTCAGTTTGACAAACACAATATCGAACATGCCCAGCATTCGTTATCGTACAACCATCATGATCCACTCCATTACCGTACTCCTCCACTAGCGCTGTATGTGTGACGCACATTTTTTCAATTGCATTTTGTCCTTTAAGCAACGGAGCTTTCAAATCCAAGTCTTCAAATCCAAATTCAAATCTTTTCTCTTGATTAAATCTATTCATCATGGAGATATTAAGTTCTTCAGGTCAAGTTCAGCAGAACAGAACGTTCAACTCTATCAATATTAACATTACACACTAGAAAGTGCTCTAATCAGATAACTGATACTCCTTCCTGTTCATTGGATTAACCTACCTCGTGCTATTAAAATTTGTCTTGTTAAGCAAAAATACTCTGGCTGATCACTGCCACGAGTGGCTGAACTTCGGCGATCGCATTCCACAACGATCTGTTGCGCGCAGTCCGCTCGGCTATCTTCGAGATTGCCTTGAGCACATTGCAGACACTTCAGGGTCGATGGTGTGGTGCTGCTTCCTGAGAATTGTAAAATGACATGCTATAACTCTTATCGATTCGCCTATATATGTGCGCAACATTGCACTGATGAACTGTACGTTGTTTCACTTCTCCACTAGCAATAACTGAAGAATTTAAATTGTCCAAATATAAAATCTTAAATTCTGGAGTATTGCTAATGAACATATAGGTTTCGAGGTATGCCCTGTACCTGCATCGACTAGAAGATGAGTTCCTTCACTGGCTGACAATTCGCTGACGGAACCACTTTCTGCATTCGGAACGCTCTGTATATTTTTGTGTACTTGATCATTTGCATGAGTATGGATTGCTGGATGGCGTCTCAGCTGTTGCTGGCCGCCTTTAGCCGCTTCCATCTTGAAATAGAACGGAATTTCAATTGTTTGATCTGCTTTAACTGATCAGATCAATGCATAAATGAACGAGCCGCAGACGATGTTTTGATAAATTCAAAAAACATGGATGGGATCAAAAGTACACCTGCTTAGATGAAAAAAAAAGGCATTTTCACTGGAAATTTAACAATTAATCGCTGTTAATCTATTGCCATCCGGCATAATTCAGAATTCATTTAGAGCGATAATCCACAATAATCCAGGATGATTACCATTTTAGTGCAGTCAGATTTCTTTGTTAAACTAAATTTCATTGGCACACAATACATAGTGTTCGTTTTCTAATAGGAAAATAGATTTTCGCAACGATACTGCCGAAACGTAACGCAGTGGACGGGATACAGTATATCCTCACACTGAGTTTGTGTCATCATCTGAAATCTGGATTGCGCATTTCCGTTGGGAGCGCAATTATCCAAAGAAATCTACCTGTTCCAGTCCACTCTGATCTGCGTCGAACGCTGATTTCTCATCAGTTTTTGCTCGATTTGGCATTTCACTAGGAGTTGGTTTTAGAGATGTGCTTTCATTATTGTCAGAGTCTGAGAACAGCTCCGGATGTTCCTGAATGTTTCCCCAAAATCAGATGTTCTCTCAGATAAATATATCGGGTCAGTAGTTGAATGACCTGTTCAGATTAAAACTTATTTTATTGCTATTGCATAAAATGACCTTATTCATTCTAATATCGCACAAAACATTTACAATTGGTACCCTCGACGTTTCATTAGAAAGTTGCTGCGAACAGATGCTTGAGGTCAACTTTATCTCCGATACTGTGATGCTTCTTCTACCCTCATAATCATCATATTCAATTCTCCATGCGATAGGGCTGCAGTACAGTCTTTTTGGATGACTATTCATTGTATCGGTCCGATTCGGGATGGAAATATACAAATTCACTCTGAAAAATCATTTGCAAAAGCAGTGTTCACCTCTTCAAACGCAATGAATTGTTCTGCAATTGGTCTTTCATTGCATAAGTCGGTTCCACACAAGCAATAGGCCAATTCTTGTGACTCGCTTTCAATCAGATCGCACTCCTCTTGCAGCCGGTAGTCTTTCTTGGGGAATGTCCGATAATGATCCTGCTCACTTATGCACTCCTTCATTATTGTATACGTGTCTGAAAGTTTAATGTCTGTACAACTGAAAGGGAAGGAGGTAAATGTATTGGCCAAATGGTTGACCATCTATGGAAACGTTAAGATCACTTAAAGTGTTTAATATCTCAAAGATTCACACAATTTCTGTTGTGCAATCCGCTTAGAGCTTTAAATAAAGCTTGATATTATTAACCATAAGAACGAAATTGACCATGATAGTGGTGATAATATTCGACATGAGAATTTTCCCAATACCAATAACAACATTGATAACGGTGGCATAGCATTCGATGACAGTCATAGATTAATTTCTACACTAAGTCAAACATCCGGAAACTTCCTTATTATTTCATTGGGACTAACTGATTGTGTGACTTCATCAGTACACACAATCGACAAACATTGAATTGAGTGAATCCCTCGAAATCGAGCCAAAATCTAGAACAAAACCTACTATTAAGTGCTTTTTGCCGTGTTGTACGACAAAATATAGGTTCGTCGGACTGGAAACGTTTCGCATAATTCGAGCAGTTGTATTCAAATTGAGCACTGCACTCGCCAAATTCGTCCAAATTGCCATCACCACATATAAAACACTGTAATCCGATTGCACCTGAATCCATATTTCTGTCATTTTATTTTGATCATTTCACTTTCGTTATTCTATTTTATCTTTTTGTGGTGTGTTGCTTGCTTTAATGATTATGTTCCTTTAGTTAATTATGGAATATGGATTAATCAAATGACGTAGATGATTCCAGACTACAATTTTACACATTTGATTATTTTTTCACGAATGTCATCATCAAAAAAAAGCAGTCGCGAACATTGCTTTATCATTTGATCAATATATAGCATAAGTTGTGAATTTTGCATCGATACGTCTAATCACTTCCCCCTTAAAATTGAGCTGATTAACTGATCAACTGAGGGAACGGCTGTTTTAGTCATCAAACTGGACTGTTCAAACATCAGTAAATGCATTACTTAATGCGGATATCTAACTCTGACTGAGGTAGACCCATCACTGAACCTACTTTACTATTTGATTAGATGGTAATATTCAACGATCAACTACCAATTAAGATCGAACAGAAAAGGAAACCAGCTGCTTCCAAGGGATTCCGGAGGGAACAGAAGTTGTTCTTCTGATCAGTTAGTCATTATCAGAACGATATCCAGCCTGACAATCCAAGACAGACTCAATCCCTCTGCAGAGGAAACTGTTATGCCTCTCAAGAGGGCTTCTAGCCTGGATGGATCAGTATCAGTAAGGAGAACTGGTAAGGTCGTTCGTACAAACTGATATCATGTCTAAACATGTGACAACGTGTCCGGTCTATTCTTTAGCTCTGCACTGAGATATCCATCTGATTTCTGAATTGTGTCTGATGAGTTTTCATTCAAAACGCAGTGACTGCGTCTCCCAATGAACGATCAATTCATTTCGTCATAGATCATACAAGAGGATATGTTCTAGCTGTGATATCACAAGTCATGTGCATGCAAACTCAAACAAATGAGCAACTTCGATAAAATAATGCATTTATGAGGGGAGTATCACAAGGATTAACCTATTTTACTTCAACGCACACACTAATACGGAATGACCATTTGACGGAGAAAAAATCATTAGTCGTTGGGCTGATCGAAAATCCGCAAAAAAATTTCCAGTTCAATAGAATACAACGATGAATTGACTGTTCCTTACAAGTGTTATTTCTTTCGAATCGCAACGATATAAGAGCATTTGAACTTTACAGAGCGATTTTAAGGGATACGAATTAACGAGAAAATAGTTGGTGATAATGGGAGCTGTTGAACTTAAGAAAAATAGTTTGAAACGTTCCAGTTTTCGGTTTAAAAAAATGGAGCAAACAGGAACGAACGTTGGTTTTGAAATCTAAAACAGCGAATCGTTAATGTGGAAATATATTCACTAACAAATGGTATGGCTTACTGTTCAGTAGACACATCGCAAAAAGCAGACAAATCGGAATGATGTTAACGTTACTGACGCCCATTGTATTACTATTAGTATTCATGCTTGAATGTTGATTCTGAAATGTGCGATATTGTTCTTAATAATTGCGTTTATTATTGGTATGTACACCACTCAAATGCAAATTACGCAGTCACATGACAAATTTTAATACATGCACAGTTTGTATTCAACAACAACAACGAAAGAGTGGTCGATCAAAAACGACTTAATAAATCACTATTGACGACTTAATCAGACGCAGTTATTTTTGTAAAAAATATCAGAGAGCAATCAAATAACGAACGCATCGCATCGGCTTCGAATTAGCGCAAATGTTCTCACTGATTATCCAGAAGCAAATGAACTCAATTGCATTTGAGATTAAACAAGCGATTTTACAGAAGTATTGTTGATACAATGTGAATGAATACTTAACAGAACATACCCGTACAGTACAATAAATTATGTGAATAATTAATCGGATCGGTAACGATGAAAGCGAATGAGCTGTTGAATTAATTTATACGTTTATATGATACTAGATGTGAACAGTAATTTAGATAATACATAGCGGATCTATGAAAAAATATCCGAAAAAGTATAGTTGGGATAACTAAATGAGAAATATAAATATTAGTGTATCAGTGTTATCTGCTTGTTCACTATTGTAGGTCTATAAGGATTAATTGTGTCAAGAGGAGGTGCCATTCAACTCAACTCAAAAAGATCACTCGAACAAACACCACTGAAGCGATCATGCTTAGATCAGCCTCATCACGCATTCGTGCCATCTAGATGAGTGAGTGAGTGACTTAACAATCCAAATTGTACATGCGCCGAAACGAGGTCATTTTTTGGCAGTTAACAAGGAGAGAACTTCAGTTCTGTTTGCTGTACCAAAATGAATACTGATTCGGAAATTCGATCAAGATTTTCAAATAAAAATTCTGAAAAGAGATGTTTCCCATTTTTCTCATTCCTAAAGTTACACTGACATCAATTCACGGGATCAGCAGTGAACTCTGATTGTCCTTCAAAAGAATGTTTGTCAATTTAGACGAGAAGTCTGCGAAAGAATGTTTCAAAAAGTCAAATTTTTATTCTGAAAATAATTCAGCCAATCAGGCAGCACTTAAGGAAGACATGCAGCACCTCAAAATTATGACTCCATTTCA